AATCATATTTCAAGATCAGATGTAACGTTACACGATCAAAAACAAGCGTTCGTTTTGCCAATAATCAAATAAAAAGTTATCCTTGAACGATTTTACTATATATCTTGCCTAAATCTAACCTTAATACAAACGTTAATCAAGCATCAATGAACTTTAATTTTGATCATTTCAGATGTGTGATCGACAACATGCATAACCTGTCACACATTCCGGTCTTGCCTCAGCACCCAGCCCATATGGTTATAAATTTCGTGGCCTTTTTGGATGTAGATTTAGATAAGCATAGAGTGAATTAATTTGCATCTCGTATAACTTTTAGTGAGATTAAAAAACAATTATAAATTTTTAAAAAAAGGAGTTATACAGAATCACTTCTGCAGTGCCCAATGTCAAAGCCTAGTTGTGATTGCCTATAAAAAAAATAATTAATTTTTTCGTTGCAAAAACCTATAAAAAAACTTTTTTAAATTCCTGAATGTTTCTAAATTTCCGATTTCCTGGCTATAATTTTTTTTTTCTGTATTAAAATTATAACCAGAAAATCAGAAATATTCAGGAATTTAAAAAGGTTTTATAAAGTTTCTGTTACGAAAATGTTCATTTTTTAAAATAATAATCTGAATATGATTTTTAATTTTTTTTCTTTTTATAGGGATTGCGAGTGTAACATACTTTATTTCATTATTTTATTATTATTTGCTTCAAAGTTATCAAAGAGTACAAATAATTTAACCTTTTCATTAAACGTGGCTAAGCCTCAGTTCCTGTATTACTGCAGTACTGTATTAGCAAAGATTTGATGGCGTATCTAAACAATAATATATATCTTAAAATGGAAGAGATGTTTACCTAATATAGCCATGTCATTTAAAGTTAAATGGATGTCGATTTTAGCCGTATTTATAAAGTATAAGTACCGGATGTTAAGCCTATCGTCCGCACACACATACGTACTTTAACGAAACATAAAAAATGGTTGTTAAATTTTTCGAAAATTTGTCACGGGATTTCACGCAGCTTTTACACGATGACGAGCATTACAACGTTATCATTGAGGTTGGTGAGAGACCAAATTACCGAGTATTTAAAGCGCATTCAGTAATTTTGTCTCAGCGTTCTTCCTATTTTCGTGATAAATTAAGAAATACTACTGCAAATTCCAACAACACTAAATGTTTTAGTCAAAAGAGTGTTTCTGCTTATAATTTTGACATTATTCTTAGGTAAGTTTGTTCTATATTTTTATCATATATTAATATCTGTAAATATAAATTTTTGTTAAAAAAAAAAAAAAATACAACTAGATATATTTATGGTGGTTTCATTTCTATCGATAACTTGAATTCATCAACTATTTTGGATCTATTGGAAATTTCGATTAAATTTTGCCTTGATGAATTAGCCACATTTCTTGGAAAGTACGTCACTAAGCATCACTTGGCAAATCTAAATTTTATAAGGTTTTATAATATCTGCCTTAAAAAAGATACCTTAACTGATTTGCAATCCATGTGCGCGGACATTGCTATAAAGTATCCAGATTTAGTATTCAAATCTAATGACTTTGCATTGTTTCCTGAGAAAGCATTAGTTGACCTTGTCGAGAAAGATGAATTACATTTACAAATAAGTGAAGGAAAAATTTGGGATTATCTTATCCAATGGGGAATCGCCCAAATTGCATTAACTCCAAACCCTGAATTTTGGACTGATGAATATTTCGAAGCATTGAAGGGTATTTTATCTGAGTGCTTAATACATATCAGATATCGTCAATTCTCTATTGAAGATATTTTTGATAAGGTTCAACCTTACCATCGAATTTTGGATCCTGAAATTTGGGATGACATAGTTCTACGACTGTCTGATCCAGGTATTTTCTATTCATGTATTTCATGTATATAATATTTTAATCCGTCACTAAAACAAATAACATGATATCTTCCCTTTTATATCATTCATTAGATAGTTCTATTGTGAGTCCAATTAGTCCAGTTTCTCCTTTTCTCCAAATTAATCAACTTCAGCTGTCATCGAACATAATCACTGAAGAGCATGTAACAGAAATTTCTTCTTGGATCGATAAACGGTCGTCTCCGTATAATGCGAATAATAATCCTTATGAATTCAAATTATTATATCGTGCCAGTCATCATGGATTTTCTGCTAAAAAATTCTATTCATTTTGTAAAGAAATCCCTAAAACAATAGTTGTCATAAAAGTTAAGGGAACAGATGAAATTGTCGGTGGTTATAACCCTTTATCATGGTACAGACCAGATTCTCGGACGTTTGGTTTTGTAGAAACAAATGGAAGTTTCATATTTTCATTGAAAAATGGTAGAATACGTGAATCAATTCTTAGTAGAATCCGAAATACAACTTATGCAATTAATTATTCTCCGTACACTGAACACAGAGGTATAGATTTTGGTGGTGGTGATTTGAAAATGAAATTTGATCCTACATGTCGTTGTTGTTGTATACAAACTTCTTATGAATGCAAAATTAGAAGTACAAGAGATGATTTTGAAGTTGAGGATTATGAAGCATTTCAAGTTGTGAGAAAAGAGCCAGAGATTCCAAATGCCATGTAGGATAGTTAAGTCCATAAAACAGAATCTACTTCATGTTTTCTTCAACTTCTTTATTCAGTCAATGTCACAGATCCTTCGTTTAACTTCCTTTTCAATGTGATATTATATAATTTGATGAACAATTGTTATACCTGTAAATTGCACATATGGTGTTTTGCACCAATTATATGGTTTTATGCTTTTTTTTATACTTTTCTAAGGTTTGCATATAAAATTTTTATCACAAATTTTTTACATTAGGGCATTAGTCAACTTGAATTATCATTTAAATATATATATTTATTTCTTTATAACTTAGCAATGTTTCAAAAAACTACATTATCTTTCTTATTATACAATACAGGACAGCAAAAAACATCCAATATATTATATATTATATAACTCAAAAACTTACAAAATTTAAAATTTTATTTATATTAAAAATTTGGAAAAATTTACATGTAACCGTGGCTTTCTGTAGCCGTATTCAATAATTCTATAATAACTCAAAATTTTACTAGGGTAACCCTGTTGTGTAAATAAGTAAAATGCTCCTCTCAAAATTTTACCCTAACCCCAAACCTAACCTAACCTAATATAACCCAATATAACCCTAACCCTAATATTAATAGCTGCAAAATTTTTTTATAAAAAAACTATATTTGATAGTACGGCTACATGTAGCCTATGGCTACAAATAAATTAATTCAATTTATTAAATTATAAATTAGTATTAAAAAAAATTTTAATTATAAAAAATTTTAATCAAACGTGTAAAAAACGGTTCTATGTCAAATCCCGAAACTTAATTGTCGCGTTGTGTTATGTCGGGGTTGGGTTCCAGCATTCAAACCCGCCTATGATTAGTAATAATGATTACTAATTGTAGACGGGTTTGAATGCTGGTACCCCGACATCACACGACGCGACAATTAAATTTCAGGATTTTGACTTTCGGGATTTTGACGTAGAACCGTAAAAAAACGAATCTACCAGCGCGGCCTTTGAAATTGCGGGTCATGTGAGAAAATGCCGCCATATCTATAATTATAATAATTACGTAATGGTAACAATAATGATACTGTAATTCATGAGATTGTACGTATTGGAAAAATCAACAATCACATATAGCAGCAACGCCACTATCCATCACAAGTGTTCTCACATGACACGCAATTTTGAAGGCCGTTCTGTAAAAAGCCATAAAGTAGTTCTTTTGCCAAATTCTAATTTATATTTATTAATTGCATCAGACCGTACCCGAACAATTCCGTTCCTTATCACATTTTGCATTCGTATTAACAAACTATTGGAAATCTACATTGTTATAAACGACTAGCCGTTTTAGTCGTTTTTTAACCGAAATATGCTTGGAAGAGAATCAATTCTACACATCTTTTATCGAGCGACACGACCCACAAATGTGCAGCAACAGAAAAATACAATTTTAAGGGCTATATTTGATATAGCAAGATATTATTAATATAATTATTTTGGTATTCAAGTTAATTTATATAAAAAAATTTTTTTTAAAAAAAAAATTTGCTTCTTTTTGCATCGCCTAACCCATATAATCTCTTCCTTAACAAATACTTAAATAGTCTTCTCTTCGTCCAAAGGTACATTAGAGATGTTCAGACATAACTCCAGTCTAATTTCTGAATTACCCACCGATTATGTTTATTAAACAAAAAGTATTTGAATTTTTATGTCACAACCTTTACCAATCATATACGTATCAATAATGTGACTACGCACCAATCCGTTTTTGTGGCTGCAAAACATTACTCTAATAGGTATATATCGTGTAACATTCATCTAACCATCCAATCAAATTAAATGCTTGGATACACATGTCGGAGAAATATGGTATACAGACTGAAACAAGCCTCATCATTCAAATACATGTGTAATATAAGTAAGCATTGTTTCATCATTTAAGAGGCATTAGGGCTTTGAAACTCGCCAGAATATTCTGAATATAGTAAAGTACTGTACATGTTTGGCGCAGTGTTAATCTGCAAACTTGATTTGATATGCATAATGTCTGCTTTTTTGTACAACAATGATCTTTAAATATAAATACATGAATTTATAAGGAATCGAACTGCTACCGTTCCAGAATTTTATACACCATTTTATATACCCTTCTTTAGCTATACTGGTATCATTTTGTCTACATTTCATTCGATGACGGGATGACGGTATGCTTCCTGGGATTTTGTCCAAATGCGATAAATTTTACAAATCTATTGATACTTGTCTTGATTTGATTTTTTTTTTTCTATTTATGAAGGCACTCGTTTCTCTCGTAAATGGCCTCACGTTAAATGGTAAATTTTCTTTTTTTCTTACTGTTTAAATATTTTTACGATGTAAATTTTATTGAATGTATCTTTCATTTAATACATAAAAGATAAAAATATGTGCGAAAAACTTCCTTCTGAAATTTTACGACATGTTTTCAAGATCATATACGAGGATGGGTTAAATGATCGAGCAGAAATGTTAGAGGATCTTTATACTTGTATTCAAGTTAATAAACGCTGGTGTGAGACTGCTATGCCAATTCTTTGGTCAAATATCATCCCGTCAGCAAGTGTCATCAACGTATATATGTCCTTCTTTACTCCCGATGAACGAAATGAATTAATATCTAAAGGAATTCCATTTCAAAAAATTTACACAAAATCAACT